TAGCTAGACAGGCCCTCACTAGGCTCAGGATGTAGTCTACAGAAGTATCTCTTTCAGGTGTCTGAAACTGGTGAAATGAAGTACTTTTTATTCCAGCACTATAAACTACTTCTTTGTACCCTTTAAAACTGGGTTCTGCAAATGTTTCTGTTCATGTGAATATATGCATTTTTTTAACTGCTGAGAAAACCCATAGCTTTCATGTGACTCTCATACAAGCCTATAACTCCAGAATGCTAAAAGCATTGCAAAATGTTACAGGATAGGAGCTCAAATTACACATCTATTTTATAACAGGATCGAATAAACACAAAGACTGATTTTTAAATGCCCAAGTCAAAATGATTGCTGTGCCGTACCATACGAGATTTGGGGAAGAGGGAAAGGATTAAACCTGGTTTCCAAACGCAAACCCACAACAGAACAAGGTTGAGTTTCATCCTATTTCACAAACCTGCAGAGTTGTTATAGATACATTTTTATCTATAATAATGCTTTTTACAAGTAAACCATAGGACTTCAAAAACAGGATGAAAAACGAACTGCGGTCCTGGTGAATGTAGGTAATTTTGTTTCCCCCTGACTTCTGGCTTTTGTGGCTTTGGTGACCTACGCTGGAAGGGTGAACAGCCTCGTGTGTCGGTAAGTTCTCCCGGATTCTGGGGGCCTAAGATAATGCTGCCAGTGCCTTCACTCATGCCACTGTACCCTGAGTCCTATTTCTTCTTCCAAAGGGACAAGACCATCAGGAAATAGAAAGTTCGTGATTGGCCCAAATGTAGCAGACTGAAGAGAGAAAAAAAGAGGGAAAAGTGACTCTCATCTACTGTTCATGCAGCCAGAATTTCTAGAGTCCATACTGAGGAGGAGCAGAAGCCCCCACCACCTGCCCATTTACTGATCTTCCCAATGTAGTTTAGCAGTCACAGTGACGTCCAGCCTACCTCTGCTTTTAGTAGGAGCCAAAGGGCAAAGCTCTAGGATTCAGGCAAGGTGACCTATTTTTCACGCTGAAGCTCTACACAAATAGTCCCAGTAGCTGACACCCCATTTTTTTGTAGAATAGAACTCTATTAGCATTGCTTGGGAAGAAATTTTCCTATAAACCAGTATATTGCAATAAAAGGCCAGATTATTAAACTTCTGCAGGCCACTTCTTGACGTTTTGAGCTGTTAACTGCTATTTGATGTGTTGCAGTTTTCATTTTCATATCTATCTTGAATATTGGGAAGTTATTACTAATAGTTATTATTCTTTAAGCCATGAGTTTTGAAGCCTTGCTACATTTTCACATGTGATTTTTCAGTATCCAGGAGGCAAAATCACTTCTGTGTCTCTTGTGGAAATCAGGGACAAATCAGGGTTGACTTAAGAGACATTCCCTTATGGCAAACTACTGGGGCAAAAAACAATATTGTTAAACAACAGATGGTAATATTAGCTTTCAAGACAATGCCAAAACTTCAGTAGAAAATTAGATGGTGTGAAGAAAGTGAATGCAAGTTTACTCATCAGTAGTACATTTATCAGTCATCTGCTGACAGAAATCTGAGATCCCGCCACTCTGACGACACTGTTGCCCAAGCCCAGCTTGCTCGGAGGTGGCTGTGGACGTCTGCTGTGACTCCTGCCTCTGCGCGCAGCTGGACTCACCGTCTCCTCTCGCCCTGGGGGGCAGCACAGCTGGAGGCCCATTAGACAGACTAAAAATTGATGGTAAAGCAACTTTACCATCAGGAGTACTTTTTTCTTTTTCAGAAATTAAAAATGAAAGTGGGCAATCTGAGGCTGAGTACTTGGCGAGTATCTGTATTTGTTCTTGACTTAGAGCTGCTTCTTTACAGACTTGCTGACAAAGTCCAGTTAGATTCTGCTTTGTCTCACCCAGAGTTGACAAAATGTGGTCTCTTTCCTTCAACAAGCTCTCCTTTTCATTTTGCTGTGAAGGGGGAAAAGAGAACACAATGACTTGTGTTTATTATCTCAATCAACACTTCTAAGATGATAGAACAATATAGTGTCTTCTCTTAAATAAGATCATATGGAATTTATCCTTTCAATTCAATATAAATATACATTAAATATCAAAAGTCCATAATGTCCCATCCAAAACTCTTGGGGCGAATATCTTTTGGAAGTCAGAATTTTTTAGATTTCAGAAAGATAACATGGGTACACACATAATTCCACTAACAGGTCTGGGATAGCACCTCACTATCAAATATCTTTGCAGTTCTAATAAAACATTAAAGTAGCAAATAATGCACAAAGTATGATAAAAACTCTATGAAGCCTAATGTCAATTTGGATCAGTTTTTTTGGTCAAAAGAGTTTGTGACAAACTTCCATGGTTTTCGCAGTGTTTTAGATTTGCAGACTGTACATAAACATGTGGGCTTGACATTTTGAATGGAACACAACACAAAAAAATAAGTACAGTGAACACAGCTTAACTACTGAGACTCAAAACACTGCAAGACTCAACTAATGACTAACATTTGTTGAGCAGTTACTCTGTACCAGATATTGGGTTAAATGTTTTTAAATATGCAATCTCTGCCATGTAAACCACACAATGACTCTGTTGATTTAAATAATATTAAACCCAGTTAATGGGTAGAACTGAGCTTAACATGCCCAGAGACAGAAAGTTAGTGGGTTTGTTACTAAAGTGTGAAGAATTTGGGGGGTAATTTTGGGTTTGTTAATTATTATTTTTGTTATTATAATTTTTAAATGTCACCGCTACAAGAAGGTCTACCATAGAACTTTTTCAAAAGTTTTCCTGGTTCCTGCCCTCCTGTCCAGATCACTTACTGCTGCTGACAGCATGTCTTTTTCTATCATCATCCCAACTCATCCTTCCTATTCTACTATTTTATTGCTTCTAATCTATTATGAGCTAGGAAACCAAATAATCAAGCTATTTATAAGGTAAGAGTCAATAAACACTGATAAAAAGTCAAAGGTTTCTCTTGTGAAATTTATGACAATTCTTAGCCAATCAGAGGTCTTGTTCTGCTTGCTTTCTGCTCCTTGGCAGGTTCTAGAGAGTTGAAGTTGCCAGTTAACACTGAAACGAATTATTTCACAGTGCTAATCTACAAAAAACATCATTTAGATTCTTTCTGAAATGAAAATAGTTAAAAGGGTAAAAAAAAACAAAACAAAAACAACAAAACTTTGCTGTATACAAAAGTACTATTAATGGTTTTCTATGAAAGTATTCCTACAAAAGTATGTATGAATCCAATTACTGGTAGTTTTTAAATATTTTAAGGCCATCTAATATTTTGAGAAGATATGCTATGAATACAAAGTACTTAAATTTTTATATTGCAAAGTATTCTCCAATTTGTTCACATTTTTATCCTTTTTTTTAAAAAAAATAGATAGATAAAGAAACAATCTGTGTGTGTGTGTGTGTGTGTGTACTCGCGTGCACAAGTGTGTGTGTGTGTGTGTGTGCGCGCGCGCGCATGTGCAGGCAACCAAGATCGATGTTCAGCCAGTTGTGCTCTTCTGATAAAAGGAGTCTGCAGGTGCCCAGAGGGCAAGAACAGTACCTACTACTTGCCCAGAGAAGGAACACATAATTCAATCAACACCCATTTCTTTCTATGGCCTCTCAGAAGTCAGTCCAAAGAGGATGGAAACAAAGCTTCCAGAGGAAAGTGGGAAATATCTTTCTTCAGTGATAGCAATATTCAGCCATGGATTCCTCTATGAAACTAGGGATGAAATCTTTTCTAAATAGCAATCAACAAATTTCAACTGCTGGTTGGTTTTTAAAGTAAATGTGGTTAAACAAACTAATGAGTACTTGAGCTTCTTCCCCCCAGAAATTAGAACCGCTACTTAACCTACAGATACTATGAATATTACACCTACTTTACAATTTCTACATCTTTATATAAATATCCACACGAGCTTTAAATATTCTCACTCCTACCATCCGACTAAATTAGGGATGACATCATTCTTTAAGTACATCCCATACAAGATGGCTTGCTTCTTCACAGCAACTATTTAATAAAACCAGTAAGTACATCCCTGAAACTCCACCATGATTATTTCTATAAATTAAATGGTCTTATCTGTTCCTCTGCACTTTAAGCTAACTCCTACACAGCTAAGTTTCTAGGCAATTAGCTGACGTTTCCATTTCACTCTAATTTTAAAACAAATTTACTACAACAGCAGTCAGCTTAATAACTGATAGTAAAATAAAAGTAATTCAACTGTAATCACTTCATAACATCATTACTAAAGACACCTCCCAAACATATTCACTACCAGTGTCCTGCTACCTAGTTCCACAATATACTTTAGTTTTCTTACAAAAGCAAATGTATGAGTCGTAAGTTT